CAATAGCATTACTGCACTGGCTTGGCTGCCAATTTTGATTTCAGAACTTTTAGATGGCATCTTTTTTTTTTTTTTTTTATTTACTAGCTGGGCTGTTTTTGGTTTTAATAAGACTTACAGACAAAACATACAGTAAAGCTCTGAAGAAATGAAACTAATAAAGTAAGAGAATACACATTCGTAAATAGAAATTTTGGTGCATAACTGAAATCTTAATGTGATGCATACAATAATTAATTGTTTCAGTTATATGGTACCTTACTCCATCATTTTCATTACCCTTGAATTAACAAATTATTTACTCATTGCTGGTATTTAATACAATAATAATAATTATTTCATAGTTACCTCTTCTTCTAAATCCCCTGAAAAGTCAACTAATCAGTCCTACTTAGATCTCACATAGGATTTGGATTCTGCAGAAGGGCAGCCATGCTTCTCATGTCCAAACTATACAGGTTTTCAGCTAAGAAAGTTGAGCATTATCCAATCAGCTATATACACCAATGTAAATATCTATAGTTTCAACTAAATATATTTGTATTTATGTCATGAAAATATAAGACAGAAAGTAGTTATTTTTCAAGAGTGGAATAGTAAAAGTATTTTTTTTCTCTCTCATAGTATTCAGATACACTTATTACTGACACTTAAGTATCTGCAATTCAAGTGATTCAGGAAATATTAAGCAAGGAATAAAAAGAAAATGGATACTGAAGAAGTGAACAAATAAACAGACTCTTTATTCAGAGTAGTGAACAATTTCATTTAACACAATTTATGAACTTTATAATTTTGTTGTATTATGTACAACTGCTGGGATTGAGAAGGGATTTCTTCAGTTAAATACAGTACAGTAACAACATGTAATTTTATTATATGTCGTACCTTTTTAGTCATAACGAAAGCTTGGTAAAATTATCCAAGTTTACTTTTTTCAATGATTATTTCCATTATACATTGAAGGGAGATAAATTCCATTTTTTGTACCTCTTGTTGACATGAATACAACTTCATTCCAAGAGAGCATAACACTGAAGAAAGATAAAAAAAAAGAGCACAAGTCTTGTAAAATAATCATTGTAGTATGCAAATTTTCTCTAGTTGATTTGCATTTTTGTTACAAGGACACTAATTAACTACATGTAGAATGCCTTTAATGAACATTTTGAAAAAAATAGCTAGAATATATCTAAATAAAAAATATATTATTTCAACTTTAGGGGGTGGGATGAAATTAGCAGTACTTTGAACTGTGATACTATCTCCAGCTTTACAACTGTAGTTATATGAAATATTGAAAATAAGTGAGGAAAAATATAAAAGGCAAATATTACGGGAATGCTACCTCTTTTATCATGTGAAAATAAACTTCACCAGAGTACAGTCACATGTTGATAGCTTTGGTTGTCTTCCAACCAATCAGATTGTGCCACACCAGTACATAGCCAGTAAAAAAAAAACAGGTTCTAACATTATGCTTAGTAGCAGTGTGATTCCAGTCTTTAATTGCAGGACTGAAATACCATGTAGAAATCAAAATTTAGGTTTATCAAGGATACCCTGCAGGAAAAATTGTGTAAAGACTCCATGTTAATGATAGAAGTGGTCAAGGTAGAAAACAAAAATTCTCCAGAAGTTTTGTTAAGTGTCTTAGGGTACATTCCTTATGAGATAGACAAATTTTGCCAACAAACTTACAGTAAATACTAGGGATGCATGGGTAGTAAACATTGGCCAAACACAGGTCCGGGTAACCGGTCACTAAGCTTCCGAGAATTAGAAACAAAAACAAAATTGACGTTTATTACATATTCACCAACAGAACATTCAAGTTTTACTTTTAACTTTCAATGCCTAGCCCCAAATTCTCAAACTCTAACCACTATTGTTCTCAAAACCTCCACCTTCTCCAGAAATCCACTTCTCAAAGTGATGTTGTTCTCTGAATCCCCGACTTTCAATGGGCGGTCAGTATTTGTCGCTCAGAACACATTTTTTTTTCTAACTAAACCAATTATTGACTGTAACTTTCAATACTGCGTAAGTTACCACAAAGATTAAGGCTTAGATGCCATTTTCAACTTCCCGGATTTAGCTGTTTTTAACTTCGACACTCAGATGGAGCCGAGTATTACCGGGAAGTCCAATACCTGGCCAGGGTCAAATATCTAGCAGAGTACCCGTGCATCCCTAGTAAATACAAGTGTGAATGCTATCTTGAAAACAGCAACAGATACACATTACTATGAAATGGTCTCAGTTGATATAAAGCTGAGAAAGATAACCAAACCAAAAGGTTGAAATGGACACTGGACTACGAACAACAGTGGAACAAGTAAAGCTGGAGATGTGTGCTCTTTGTAGATGTATGCAAGTTCAAATTATTTGGCCACATTTAACAACAATTTTTGCTAAGGAAGAGAGGAGAATGGTGTCATAGTCAATGTGGAGTATGGTGGTGGAGGGGAATCTATACAAGTTTTGGGGTTACATTTCGGTTAATAGTGTTAGTGATTTTCACAAAACTGGTGGTTCCTGTATAAGTTCATAAACATGACTCAATACTAGTTGAGTGATTCATATTTTAGCAATACAATGATCCCTGAATTGTGGTGGAGTAATACAGGACATTTGGAATTGGAACAGTATTCCACAATTGTTCATTTTTAAACTGTCTGACAGCATAAAAACAAAGTGTAATGATCTGTGTAAAGCAGAGGGCTCATGTATAAAATACTAAGATATTATACAACTATTTCAATTTTGTATTTTCTGTGATAATTTTTGCACTAGCTAGTTCCCATTACTTGTTGTTTGTGACTCTTGTATGTGTATCTGTCAGGTTTTTATGGGGGTCAGATTCTTTACACTAGGTGTCAGTGACTTGTTGGTGATAAATTTGAACAATATACAAACAGTGTACAATCCACTTGTTTTAAAATAATATATTTAAAACAAGTTAAACATGTTCATATAAAATTAGTTACCCTATTGGTTATCACAGTTGTATATAGAGCTTTGAATAATTGTCTTTTCATACAAAAAATATGCATTTCCTAAAGTTGTTGTATGCACTCGTGTATGTGTAATTTGTATATGATAAATCTAATCAAAAACACCTTACGTGTGAAAAAAAAAAAAGTTGCAGCCAAAAAAGGATTCAGCATGCAACTTAAAGGAATGAAAATAAAATTGGTGGATAAACTGGTACCTACACTTGTAGCATTTATAATCATTTTACAGCCAATATTCATTCATTAGTTAGCTAGGCTGCATATTTTCTTTCACCCACCATCATGCCCTAAGTTGAACAAAAATATGCACCAACAAATCACATCAAGTAAGAAAGTGACACTCGATAGTAACCAACATTAGCTATAGAATCGCAACCCTGATATTCGGAATAGACCTATACTTTACAGAACCAACCTAAAACGGTATTAATAACTTCCTTTATAGTAACACCATGAAAACTAGATTACAGTTTCTTGTCATTACCCCATGCACTCGGTACAGCTGTATCAAAATCATTATTTACACTAATTGCTTAAACTAATATTACGTGATGCTCAACCCTCTTTAATTAGGAGAACTTCATAAAATAAGGCCCGGCATGGCTAGGTGGTTAGGACATTCGACACGTAATCTGCGGGTCGCAAGTTCGAATCCACGTCACCCCAAACATGCTCGCCCTTTCAGCCGTGGGGGCGTTATAATGTGACGGTCAATCCCACTATTCGTTGGTAAAAGAGTACCCCAAGAGTTGGCGGTGGGTGGTGATGACT